GGAATATTCCTCAGCACTAAAAAATAACAAGATCATGGCATTTGCAGGGAAATGGATGGCATTAGAGCAGATTATGCTAAGTGAAGTTAGCCAATCCCTAAAAAACAAATGCTGAATGTCTTCTCTGATATAAGGGGGTGGGGTGACTCAAAATGGGATAGGGAGGAAGAGCATGAGAAGAAGATTGCCACTAAATAGGGAAGAGAAGTGGGAGGGAAAAGGAGGGAGAAGGGGAATTTTACGGAAGATGGAAGGAGACCCTCATCGTTTTACAGAATACATGTATGATGTTGTGAGGGGAAAAAAAAAAGAAGTGTGTCACATTAGATTGGGTAGAGAGAAGTGATGGGAGGGGAAGGGAAGGGGGGGATAGGAAGGACAGCAGAATAAAATAGACATTATTATTGCTGTATGTATATACGTGACTGTATAACCAATGTGACTCTGCAACCTGTACAATCAGAAAAATGAGAAATTATACCCCATTTGATTCAAATGTATGATATATCAAGATCATTGTACTGTCATGTGTAATTATATAAAAAAAAGAAGTTAAGGTACATTTCTTAGTTTTTTTTCCAACAGAGAGCAATGGTAATGAAATATAAAACTAGAAAAAGACAGGTTTAATTCTTAAATAAAGAAGAGAATATCCTCGCTCTTGTTCTCATGGGTGATTAAGAGGTAGARGAAAGAGACTTCATATTTTCACATGTGTTCTCAATTTATTCTTTACCATTTTCTTTCTGTCTTGATCCTTGTTCCATAAACTTATTTCTTCAGGATATTGGACAAAGTAACCTGAATTAATACCATTGCCTTTGAATGTTTTCTAACTAGGTACTAGGTACATGTAAGCTTGTAAATTATGAGAAATATATTTCATGTCTCTGTAACTTTATAACTCTTTTGAGGCAAGTAGAGTTCTTTTCCTCTGCTGAACTGTGGGGAAAATCCTGGGCCATGCATCACTGGTGATTTCTCATTGGTAATATGCTAACTTTCTGATAAGCAATTCTATATGGCAAAACTGTGACCTGATTATGGTCTCATTAACCATATGAGACTATATAAGGACTCATTGATAACCAAGAGAAAAAGATTAGTTTGTGTCCCCSTTTTCTGTTAATCTAATCTGCTGTATTTCTTGAATTGGCAGACCAACATCACTGGCATGGGAAGTAAAGAAGATGTCTCCAGGACGTCATGTGATTCCAAGTCCATCAACAGACAGAATAAGTGTAACATCAAATGCTAGAAGAAGCTTAAATTTTGGGTAAGATAAACTCAAAAAAAGCCTATTAAAGACTGTATTACATTACATTATTGTCTATAGGTAATGTAGGTATAGTATTCCAAAAATGATATTTCACTATAAAAATATTCATGTCTATGTTTGTGTGTTAAAGCAGAATATCAACCCATGGAAGGGAACAGTTTCTGCTAAGGTTTCTATTCTGGTAGGAGATTTTGCACAAACTCATTACTTGATGAGACTGGAAGGACAGAATACTTGCATAATGAGTCAGGCAAAGCAACTTATTTACTCACAAATAGGCAAGAAGAGCTGGGCGAGGTGGCGCACGCCTGTAATCCCAGTGGCTCTGGAGGCTTAGTTAGGAGGATTATGTGTTCAATGGGAGCCTCAGCAATGGCAAGGTGCTTAGCAAATCAGTGAGACCTTGTCTCTAAATTAAACACAAAGTAGGGTTGGGGATGTGGCCCAGTGGTTGAGTGCTCCTGAGGCAATCCTCAGTACCACCTGCCCACCAAAAAAAAAAAAAAAAAGAAAGAAAAAAAAAACCCAGGAGGAATAAACAGAAGCCTAGCATGGCAAGCTGATCCTTTGAAGTTTAGGATTGCCCAGGTCAGATCAGTCTCATTTGTATGTGCTTCACTTCTCATTAAACTTTGAAGGACCTTTCAAAGTATTTGAATTTTTGAGTTCAGGTCTTGCAGGACATGTTGTTCTAGGTGGACAAGGATGAATTTTGATTGTTCTGGATAGTTCCTACTTATCTCAGGATGTGTATTTTTGGCACATTCTTCCTGATAATTTCAAGCCAGAGGGGGAAGAAGTTGGTTTACCACGCTGTGTTTTCCTACATTGTRTATATGTTTGAAATTGTCTGAATAAAAATTTTTAAAAATTCAGTAGAATTACTATTTAACTTTTAGGAAATGTGATATATTCAAAGATAATTAGTGTTCCAAAGATTAAAACCTATTAGCCTATTTCATGCAAAATTATTCATGTGATAAACTAGCAATTTCTTTTTTTTTTTTACAAATCAAAATTATTAATAAAGAGATAATACTCAAACCAACTAATACCACAGTTTTATAATTTATGCTGTTGTCTTTTGAATGAGTTAGAAGAAAAGAGTTATAAACAAAAACTACATTTTTACGGTCTTTTATATTTACCTATGAAGTTACCTTTTCTAGTTTTTTACTGGTGCTCTTTTATTTCTTCTTATGGATTCAAATTAATGTCCATTGTCCTCTTACTCTCAGCCTAAAAAGGACTCCCTTTAGCATTTCTTTTTAGGCAGGTCTACTGGTGAGAGATTTTTCTCAGTTTTTGTTTATCTAGGAATATCTTATCTTTCAGTTTTGGAAGAATAGTTTTGTACTACATAGAATCCTTGGTTGATAGACTTTTTCTTCTAGTAGATTGAATATGTTATTTCACTGCCTTCTAGCTTTCATGGTTTCTAATGAGAAATCAGGTGTTATTCTTATCAAAGAGCTTTTAATGTAATGGGTCACTTCTCAATGCTTTTAAGATTCTCTTCCCATCTTTGGCTTTCAATAGTTTGATGATGATGTATCTGTGTGTGGACCTCTGAGTTCTTAGAGTTCACTGTTTCTGTTGGATGTGTAGATTAGTTGTTTTACATAAACTTTGGAAAGTTTCAGCCCATTATTTCTTTTATATATCTAGTCTGTGAAACCATGTATCAGTGTAGTATGATGACTTTAATTCTTTAGGATAAATACCAAGGAGTGTAATAATGTGGTCATATGGYGGTTCCATGCCTAGTCTTTTGAGGAACATCCTACAGATTTTCATTTTTGTTGTGCTAATTTACAATCGTATTAACAGTGTAACAGTGTTTCTTTTTTCCACATCTTCTCTAGYATTTTTTATTATTTGTATTCTAGACGACTGACTTTCTGATTGGTATTAGATGAAATCTCRGTGTAGTTTTGATTTTTGGCCCCTTATTTCTTAAAATATTCTTTCTTTTCCCTTTTCTCTGAGAATCCACCATACATATGACAATACTTTTTTATGGGGGTAGGGGATACTGGTGGTTAAATTCAGGGCTGTTATACCACTGAGCCCCATTCCTAGCCCTTTTAATTTTTTATTTTGAGACAGGGTCTCAATAAGTTCCTACAGCCTTGCTAAATTACTCAGGCTGGCTTCAAACTTGCAATCTTCCTTCCTCAGCCTCCCAAGTTGCTGGGATTACAGGCGTCCACCACTGCACCTGACCATATGATGATACTCTTATTGGTGTCTCACAGGTCTTTAGGCTCTGTTCATTTTTCGCTAGGATTGTTATTATGCATGTTTATTTGTTACTATCAGTTTAGTGAGTTTCTTAAAGTAATTCTGTGAAGATTTTTCTTTGTTTTATGGCCTCCAAAACCTCTGCTAGTTAGCTTACTCATCAGCTAATGATTTGGCAGAAGTTTCCTTAAATGCCTTGAGCCAATAAATCTCTTAGTCCTTGAATAATTCTGTGTGTCTGTTGGAACACACTGTCAGTATGCTCTGGTAGTATCCAACGCTGCCTTTGCTCTCTCTTCCCATTTTCCCAAAGCTTCAAGGTTAGTCAGAGATGAGACATTATGGGCCTCTCAGATTTTTGGAGGAACRTGCATGTAACATGTCTATTTGTAGAATATGTCCATTTCTAAGAATATGTTGGAGCTTTCAAAGCCCTATGCAGAGATTTCACTCTCCAGCTTTTCCTTTAAAGGTTTTTTGGTCAGTCTTTGTTTGCCTCAAATGTTATTGCTACTTCTAGTAGCTGTGATGTTAAAAATTTTCTCATTTGTTTTCTTCCAATGTCCCTGGGGAGATTTATTTTTAAGAAAAATTTGTTTGCACTCTAAATTTGTTAGAGTAAGTCTTAACATGTAATATTTAATGAAAGGATAGTAAGTAGTTTGCTCGGAAAGTTCTCTTTTGTCTTTTTTTTTTTTTTTTTTTTTTGTGCTGGCGGATTGCACTCAGAGGTGCTTAAGCACTGAGCTATATCCCCAACCCTTTTTATATTTTATGTTGAGACAGGATCTTGCTACGTTGTTTGGGGCGTCGCAGAATTGCTGAGGCTGGCTTTGAATTTGTGATCCTCTGCCCTCAGCCTCCTGAGCTGCTGGAATTATAGGTGTGTGCCACTACTCTTAGCTTTTGCATCTTTTAAACCTAACCTTTTTTGAGAACCTTTCTTCCCCAACTCCCACCYTTTCACAGTTAACAACTTTCACCTTATTACTGGTAAACCTTGGATATAAGTTGTATTGTTATATTCGCAATGTGTTATAATTTTTTAATATCTTTTTTTCCCCTTCTGTGACCATCTTTGAGGCAAGATCTTTGCCATATGTCTGTATTATAAGCACTCTGGAAGTGTAGCTGGCCCTTAGTAAAAGAAGTTCAAATGTTTGTTYATTCAATAGAATCAAACTTTTCTTTTTAAGCTTCTTTGTGGAATTATCAGATAGCATTGCCTTTGATGAAGTTTCCTGGACTTCATAAATTTATAATAATTRGACCTTAGTCAAATAGGGTAATGAATGTAAGCAAACGAAAATAAATATTTCTACACACAAGCATCATTTTAAGTTAACTTGATTTTAGTGCATTTGAGTGGTCTGTGGTTCAAAGTAGTACTTGGTTTATTTTAGCATTGAAAGCCTCCAGTGAATGTGTGGTAAAATTTCTCATACTGTTCTCCATATTGTTGGGTTAATTGACAGTATTTCTCATCACTGGAAATCGGTTTCTTTCAGCTTGCTGAACAGTTGTGGCTCACAGGTTTCCTACCCTTAGGTTTTCTACTTCCTTCTGTTCATGTTGGTTGAGTTTTGTTTATTCTGAATATGTTAGTAATTATGAAACTTGATGTATACAAGCTATGTTCATTATTTTAACTCATAATTTAAGTATTAAGCAAACCAGTAATATATGAGGGCAAAAAGAGTCATTGTTTTTGTGAAAAATAAGAGAATTTTTGGGAAACTTTGATAAAGATATACTGTTAAAGTTGCTACAAAATGAGTGACTAGACAGCTATGAAAGTTTGTCGAAAATAGTACCAGTTCACTTTAAGGAATCAGAATTGAACATTGTTAGTGAGGCATCATGTTGTGTATCATGTGAGAAATGTACACAAAGAAAAACCCAGTTTTACTACTCTCTATGTCAAGATTAGCAAATTTATATTATTAAAATACATGAGCAAAAATAAAAGTTTATGGTACTATGAAAATTTATTATTTTCTTTTATAATATTATTGAACTTTTAAATTATGTGCCAATTCATTTATTTTTTAATTAAAAACATTTTTTTAATTGTCAGTGGACCCTTATTTATTTGTATGCAGTGCTGAGAATCAAGCCCAGTGCCTTATGTATGCTAGGCAAGTGCTCTACCACTGAACTACAGCCCCAGCCCTGCCAGTTTATTTTTAACTGATATATAAAAACATTAAAAGGGTACGTATTAATGGGGTACCATGTGATCTTTCAGTAGATGTATACATTGTTGATATATAAATCAGGTTAAACATCTATTTCCTCAATTTTTTTTTCATTTCTTTATTGTGAAAACAATCAAAATTTTTTGTTCTAGCTTTTTGTTTTTATCATTATTAGAGCTTTATGGTTATGTACAATAGTTGGGTTCATCTCAACAACTCATACATGCATGGAAATCAATTTCAGTTCATGATTCCTCCCCTTTTCTTCCCCCTTTGCTTTTCTGTATTACCCCCTCTTCTATTCTATGAGACTTCGTTTTGCTCAAGTATTAATTTGCATTTGATTGATTCCTTATGTAATCTTATTCTTCCCTCTCCCTTTCCTTTATTTTAGTCTAAATTCAGCATTGAGAGCCAACATTCAATCTTTGAGTTTCTGAGTTTGGCTAATTTCACTACACATGATATTCTCCATTTCGATCCATTTACAGGCAAATGCCATAATTTCATTCTTTTTAATGGCTGACTAGAACTCCATTGTGTATGTCACAATTTCTTAATTCTTTTATCGATGGCCACCTAGGTTATTGACATAATTTTGCTGTTGTGAATTGTTCTGCTGAATACATAGATGTGGCTGTGTTGCTGTAGTTTGCTGATTTTAGATCTTTTGGGAAAATACCCAGAAGTGGGATAGCTGGGTGTTATGGTAGTTTCATCCATAGTTATTTGAGGAATCTTCAAACTGCTTTCCAGATTAGTTGTACTAGTTTGCAGTTCCACCAACAACATACAGGTATTCCATTCTCCCCACAACCTTGCTATCATTTATTGTTATTTTTATTCTTGATCGTTGACGCTGATTGGAGTGAAATGAAATTTTAGTTTTGATTTGCATTTCCCTTGTTGCTAGAGGTGTTGATCATTTTTTCATGTATTTATTGGCATTTTGTGTTTTTTCTATTGTGAAGTTTCTGTTAAATTTTGCCCTTTTATTGATTGGGTTATTTGATGTTATTGGGGTTTTTTTTTGGTGTTAATTTTTTTGATTTTTTCTGTATATTCTGAATAAAAATCTCCTTCAGAAGAGTAACTGGCCAAGATTTTCTCCCATTTTGTAGGCTCTCTCTTCATGCATTTAATCATTTCTGTAGCTGTGCAGAAGCTTTTTAGTTAAATGTCATGCCACTTACTGATTATTGGTTTTATTTGTTGTGTTTTGAGGGTCTTCTTAAGGAAGTCTGTGTTGCACTTGTATGATGGAGTGTTGACCCTGTGTTTTCTTCTACCAGTTGTAAAGCTTCTGGTCTAATTCCTAAGTCTTTGATCCATTCTGATTTAATTTTTGTGTAGGGTGAAAGATAGGAATCTAATTTTATTATATATATATGGATATATACATAGTTATATTTTTGGCACCCTTTTCAAATATCAGATAAGTTTTTCTTCGCATATTTTATTCTATTCTGTTGGTCTTCATGTCTATTTTGGTGCCAATACCATGTTTTTTTTTTGTTGTTGTTGTTAGTACAGCTCTGTAGTATAATTTCAGATCAGGTATTGTGATGTCTCCTGCTTCATTTTTCTTTCTTAGTATTGCTTTGGCTACTCTGGGTCTTTTTTTCTTTTTTCTTTTTTCTTTTTGTTCTAATTAGTTATACATGACAGTAGAATGCATTTTGTGACACATCATACATAAATGAAATATAACTTCTCATTCTTCTGGTTGTACATGATGTAGAGTTACACCAGTTGTGTAAGCATATATGCACATAGGGTAATAATTTCCAATTCATTCTATTATCATTCCTAACCCTATACCTGCTCCACTCCCTTTACTCCCCTCTGTCTAATCCAAAGTACCTATATTTTTCCCTAGCTCCTCCACCCGTTAGTTATTGTGAATTAGCATCTGCATATCAGAGAAAACATTCTGACTTTGGTTTTTGGACATTGGTTATTTTTCTTAGCATAATAACCAATTTTGCTTAGTTCCATCCATTTACCAGCAAATGCCATCATTTCATT